TATACATTTTTATTAGATACTGTTATCTCCATTTTACTGGCTATGAAACAGAGGCATAGAGAAGTTGAGCAGGGTGCCTGAGGCCCCACAGTGGTTAAGCAAAAGAGCAGGGATTTACATCCTGGCAGTTTGGCTCCAGAAACTGCATACTTAATGGGATCCAGAGAAACTACTTAGAAATACATGGCCAGGGAAGGTTGAAAGGAAGCCATGAATGCACAGAACTGGGAAATGGCGATTCAGGCAGAGGGGAATGCATGTGCAAAGGCCTTGAGGCTGGAGAGAGGTCAGAAGGAACTGAAGGGAGACCAGAGTGAGTGGAGCATGGAAAATGATGGAGAAAGCCCCAGAGGAGGTAGGCAGTGGCCAGACTGTGGAAGGCCTGCAGGCCTCAGAACGGACTTGGATTTCATACTAAGAGTGTCGTGAGCAAAAAAGGCTAACTGAGGGAGTCTTTCCAGGCTTGGCTTGCTGCTGTATGGCAAAAAGATGAGGGGACAGGATGGAGGCAGACCAGTTAGGAGGCTGTCATGGTTTGCCTATTGAGAGAAATCACAATTACTAAAATGAAAGTGGTTACATCACAGACTGGAGAAGGTGCTAGAGTTGAGAATCGTTTTGGAGGTGGAGATGACAAGTGGTTTTGCTGATGGGATTAGACCTGTGGGTGAAGAAACAGAGAGATGAGATTTCTGGCCTGAGGAACTGAGAGATGGGAAAGACCAGAGACTGGGGAGGACAACAGGTTTGGGCAGGAAGATCAAAGTCTGGTTTGGGACATGAATTTTAAATGCTTGTTAAGTTTTCTGGGTGTAGATGATAGGTAGGGGGCTGGACCGACGGGATGTGGAGTTCGAGGCTGGGCTGGAAGGGGCACAGAGGGGGTGCAGCACACTGACCGGACTCAGCCAAGGACACAGCCAAAGGAGACAGACCTGGGGAAGGGGCCAGGGGGCCACTAATGGCCAAGGAACCTTTAAAGGCCACTGAAAAGCGGCAGCCAAAGAGGGAGAAAGGAAAACGAGGAGCGTGCAGTCAGACAGCCAAGGGGAAGGGTGTGTGGGGCAGCGGTGTAGAAAGATACAGGGTGCCCAACCGAGATCAAAACAGAAAGGCACTGCTGGGTTTGGCTCCCTGGAACTCACCAGGCACCTTGATTAGAGTGGGACATCACAGGGAACCAGAGTGGACGGAGCCCAGAAGTTTGGTGCTGAAGGGGTAAATGGGGAGGTAGTTGAAGATGGGTGTGGTGGTTGAGGGTTTTTGCTGTTGTTTTTTCTTTTGCTTTTGTTTTTTAAGGATATAAGAAAACAGCGCAGGGAGACAGGTTGAGGCCCTCCCAGAGCCCTTTCTAAGCGCCCCCGCCCCTCCTCTGACCTTGACAGCTCTCTCCACGTAGATTTTGGCGTTTCTGAGCCGGTTCATGTGAGACGCCTTGGAGGATCCTCGCCAGAGGACCGGGAAACCTGCAGAAAGATGGGGAGTAGGGGCGGGGTAGACTGGGCCTGGGCCTAGGCTCTCGGCCCAGGATCTTTTCTCACAGCCGATAGCCACGCCTCTTCTCTGCCTCCGGCCTTCATCCGGATGTCCACCCTTGGCCGCTCTTCTCCCGACCCCCATTCCCTCCCTCCACCCCAGCATCTTGTCGTCCTCGCAGCCGCTGTAGGCCAGAGTGAACGGGCCGCACGGGGCCTCACCATCCTGCGGAGAGGGGTCATCCAGGACCGGGGTGTGCGGGGGGCCGAGGGGGCGGGGATCCGCGGCGCCTTGGGCGTGGGTGCCTGGGACCAGCGTCTTGAAGGCGCGGCCGAGGCGGCGCGCAGGAGCGGGGCTGCCCGCCTGGCATCTACCGCCTGCGTGACCCTCCTCGGGCTGGGCGGAGGCAGGGCCGGGCCATGGCAGCCTCCTGGGTGGACGGAACTCGGAGCGGCGGGCCAAGGGGAAACTGGTGCGTGGCTCGAGCGGCTGCGGCTTTCGCAGCCAGTTGCACACCGGGCCGCTCCCCTGGCGGTACCAGGAGGCCGAGACCCGGCGCCCGGGCCCCAGCTCCCCAGCGCTCAGGAGCAGCGGCGCGTCGGGGCCCTGCATGCGCCCCTCGCCGCACTCGCCCTCCCAGCGCCCCTGATCCCGCCTCCCCTCCGCGTCTCTGCCTCCTCTCCCGGGAAGGTCCTGCCTAGGCTCGAGCCTTGTCCTCCGTTCCAAGCCCCGCCCCGTTTGCTATTGCCTTGGAAACCATTCCCTGGGCACCATCAGACCGCTCGGGGTTGGTTGGGGGCTGCGGTGGGCCCCGGTGGGCCCCGGGGCAGTCAAGAGAGGGCTTCCTCAGGACCTGGGGCCTCACCCACACCCTTGATGAGTGGAGCACTGAAGGCGGAAGAGAGCACTGAGCCCTAGTTAGTGTCGCGGTTCCTTATCCAGTACTTCCTGGTGCCACCGGCCCTGGGGTTTGAGCGATTCTACAGTATTTATAGGCGCTAACAAATGGCCCCTGACCTCATGGAGCTTACAGCCCAGTGAGGGGAATAAAAAGTAACAAAGGAAGGGAATAGTTACAGGTATAATAAGGGCAATGAACAAGCAGAGGTGAAACCAGGAAGAGGACGCATTTTAGATAAAGTGGAGGTAGAGGATGTCCTCTCTGAAGAGGTGACACATTTAAGCTGAAGATGTAAATGCGAGGAGTCAGGAGTCACCAGGGAAAGGGGAGGAACAGCACTTCAGGGAACAAACAGTCCCAGCAACAGCCGAGAAGGGTTAAGAACTACAAGACAGCCAGAGTGGCTGGAGCCTGGTGAGGACAGATCAGACCTGCCGGGCCTGGCAGATGGGCCTAGGGTAAGGTCCTTAGCGAGGGCAGCATATGGGGGTAACACGAAAGTGCAGAGCACACCCTCCCCAGGAACTTGAAAATGGAAAAACTGATCATCATTTGAGTCAACTGTGAAAGAAATGTAATAGATCAGAACAGTTATGCCTGGCCCCCAGGCTAAGACTGTAAGCAACCTTTTTGGAAGCACTGGCAAAGTATTATCCTCAAAAGTCATAGGGGAGGTAAGGTTCCAAGATGTTAAACAATTTGCCTCAAATCACAGAGCAGAGGCAGCATTGCAACCCAGGTCTGACTCCAAAGCCTGTCTCTTAAACACCTGTATGTTATCACACAGAAGGTTGCCTGTTAGTCACAGAAGGACCACACAGGGACAGTTTGAGAGGCCAACTCTAGCAGTGCCCATGCAGGCAGAGTTGAAGAGAGTACCCTGGTCAGAGCCCAGCTTTGTTAGTCACTGGGGAGATGTGCTCTTAAGTGAAGGTGGATCCCCCACCTTTCTGTCCAGCTGACCCCAACCCCCTTTAGCTGATGGCTGGACTTCCCAAAAAGCACATCCCCAGGAGAGGTGATTTAGGGAATTTGGACCCTGGGAGAGAGATACGTGACAAATGAGGGTTGTGGCTGGCTCACCCAGGCAATGCTCTCCTGTGAGGGTTGTTGAGTGACCAGCTGCTATACCCTATTAGTCACCCAGTTTCACTGTGACCACCTTTAACATTCACTGCAAAGCTAGAACATAGCCATGTGCCCTGGAGGAGGGAACATCTAATTCAGAGGGGTAGTGAGGTAGGTCACAGAGGTAATGTCATAAAGGGGATGATAACACTTTGGGAGGCTGAGGCGGAAGGATCACCCAAGGCAGCCCAGGCAACATAGCGAGAACTAAAAAAAACAAAAAACAAAAACAAAAAAATTAGCTGGGCGTGGTGGCACAAGCCTGTGGTCCCAGCTACTCAGGAAGCTGAGGTGGGAGAATCACTTGAGCCTGGAGAAGCTGAGGCTGCAGTGAGCCACGATTGCACCACTGCACTCCAGCCTGGGTGACAAAGCGAGACCGTCTCAAAAATGGGAAAAAAAAAAAGGTGGCGGGGGAGAGGGGCAATAGCCGTTCAGGTTGCCCTCGCGCCCTCCTGCCTTTAACATCACCTTGTCCACCCCATCAAGAGAGACCCCTCTGGCCATCTGGAGGAATCCCTTTTCAAAGCTCAGCTCAAAGGTTAACCCTTCTTGAAGCTTACCCTGACACCCTCTCCTATATTTACCCCTTGGCCCCCAGACTTCCAATATTAAACATAAAACACTTCAGTGAACCTTTTACATACCTAGCCCTTTTCCTGGACCTCCAAGTCTCTTCAAGGCAAGGATAACATCATGAACACTGGAAATTATTCAACAGCCCAGCCACTGGGCTGGTGAACAACTACGGTTGTCAGTACCTGTGTGGCAGGGACCATGTCAGATTGTTCATATTCATTATCTCTACTTTATAGACTAAGAAACTGAGACACAAAATAGAAATAACTTGACCAAATTTGTCAAGAAGAATCAGGACTCAAACACAAGGGTTTTTTTTTTTTTTACTTCGAGGTGTTACTAAGGTATAGTACTATCCAATGGAACTTTCTGCAATGATAGGAATCTCTATGTATGTGTTGTATATGCTCTGTCTATATATGCTGTTATACATGGTAGTCATTGGTAGCTGTTAAGTTGCCAGTGGGACTAGGGAACTGGATTTTAAACTTTAATTGTAATAATTAAAATTTAAATAGCCACTTGTGGATGGTGATTACTGTTTTGGCACAGACAAAAGTCTACTCTCTTGCTCACTGGCTAGATTTGGGGCAAGTTATTACATCTCATGTTTGGAATCACAGTTTCCTTATCCACCAAATGGGAGCACTGTTTCTCTGAGGTTACTTTTTAGCCCAAGTAAGTTCATTATATGAAAAGCACCCAAGCTCTGTATAGGCAGAGAGAGCAGTTTCAGAAATGAATGGTGCCTGGACTACAATGAATGGAGTCTCTGGGTTGGGGCCCCTGGTAGGAATAATGGCGGGACCAATCATGAGATTGCACCCAGTGGGGAGCTCCAGGCACAATTACCAGCCATCTAGTCTCAGGGAAAAGAAGCCCCACCTCCCCTCCTTTCATACACACAGACAGCAAAGACCTCATGCAGCCCCAAAGGGGCAAAAAGAGACTTTAATTAGGGGAGGGAGGATCCACCAGAATCAGAAAAGGGACAGCTAGCGTGGGAGCAGACAAGCCAGAACAGGCAGGAGGAGGGCCCGGCTGGGAAGCTCTGGAGGACTCACCTCGCAACCTCTGGCACAGGCACTGGCACTGACGGACAAGGCGAAACAGCGGCCCCTCTCAACTAGGAGGGTACCCAGTGGCCCCTGTAGTCAGGGGTTGCCTGGCTTTTGGGCCCCAGGTCCTAGGCATGACTGGTGGTCACCAATTTGGCCCCTGTCCCCAACCAGTGCTGGGGGGCCATCTTCAGGCAGAACTCAGGAAGCTGGCAGAGGGTTCCCACCACTTATATTGGGGCCAAGGAGGCTTGGGAATAAAAGGGTAAGGGAGAGAAACCAGAGTCTGAAACCTCCCTCCCTCCCCACCTGGGGTGGCATAGGAGAGAAAAAATAAAGTCGCCTTCTGGCTCCAGGCCCGCCCAGACCCACAGCAACCAATAAGGTACAATCACTGGGACCAGTCACAGTCACTGGAGGTGGAGGTTTAAAAAAAAAAAAAAAAAAAACCAGACAAAAAGGTTACAGTATCCTACAAGCACAGAGTTTAAGTTTCAAGACGTTAAAAAAAATCTGTCCCGGCCCAGGGCACTGAACATCAGAAGCCAGCCTGACCAGGCATGTGTGGCCTTGGGGCAGGTCCACAGCTGCTTTCTTGTCCAGCTAGCAAGCACATCACCCACCTCCCGCATCAAATGCCCACCCCAACCCAGCTCCCTGCCGCCGCTGCCGCCGCTGCTCTGGGAAGTGACTCCAGGACGCCTTCGTGGAGACATGGGTAGTCTGAGGGGGAAGGCCACAAGATCCAGCCAGATAGTTTAAAACTGTCAAGAGAACCAAGAGGCAGTGCACGGTGGTTATTATTGCATCCTGGTAGGACTGCTCTAAGGAGGTGCATGAACCTGAGCTGCCACTGTGCTCATATCTCTGATGGGCAGAGTTGGGTCCCAGGACACCTTGTGGTCATGCTCTAATTCAGCCAGCTTTCAGAAGTGACCTATGGGCACCAGCCCTAAGCCTAACACTAGATGAGGCAGAAAAATTAACAGCCATGGAGCTTATCCACAGCTCCCCTGTGCCCTGGCATGGAGGCTGCTAGAAAGCCCTGTCAGCGTCCTGCCTGGTGAACTGGGGTTGCTTTCTTTAGGCATGGGGGCTCTCATGCAAGGGGCTTGGGGACTCAGAGGGCCAAGTGGAGAAGGACCCAGGTTCTGGTACTTTTGTGTCAAGCTCTGGATGATCCTCCAACCAAGACAGGCCCTTGAAATGTTTTCTGCCCTCAAGGGACCCCCATGCTGCCTAGGACAGCCCTGGACATTTTAGAGACCAAAGGTTGTGAACCAATGGTCCATGCCTGAAACCAGCCCAAAGATGAGCACTGTATGGCCCACATGGTGTTTAAAAGAATATGAATTAGTTGGCCAGGCGCGGTGGCTCACGCCTATAATCCTAGCACTTTGGGAGGCCCAAGTGGGTGGATCATGAGGTCAGGATATTGAGACCATCCTGGCTCACACGGTGAAACCCCATCTCTACTGAAAGTACCAAAAACATTAGCTGGCCGTGGTGGCGGGCGCCTGTAGTCCCAGCTACTTGAGAGGCTGAGAAATGAGAATGGCATGAACCCAGGAGGCGGAGCTTGCAGTGAGCCACACTCCAGCCTGGGCGACAGAGCGAGACTCCATTTCAAAAAAAAAAAAATTGGGGGCTCAATGGCCTGGAGGTGTGTGGGAGCCAGCCCCTGCAGATGAGGCATGTGCTTAGCAGCTCCTCATCCTGCCCACTCCACGGCTACCCAACCTTTGGATGCACCTGAATGTGTGACCCCGACAAAGGTTATGGTACTATCTTAGACCTCTGAGTCTGAAAACCCAGCTCCACATTCTAGTTCCTCCTTACTGGCTGAGGGACCTTGGACAGGTGCTTTTGCTTCTAGAGCCCCAGTTTATTAATCTCTAAAATGGCGATAATAGCTGACTCAAAGATTGTTTTGAGTAATAAACGGGATATGTGAACATACTTTTTAAGGTGTCTAATTCTGTGTGATGTAATTATCATAAATAAGTAAATGATTGTTGAAATGAGTGAGCCAATATTGGAACAAGAGCTATTTTCCCCTTCCAGTTCAATCTAGAGGGTTCCTAGTATCCTGGTCATAAAACTTCAGTGCTGCAATACATGGAAAGCTTACTATGTACCAGGTGCTATGTTTTACACACATGGTCTCACTTAATGCTCAACCACTCTGAAAGATAAGTATTAATTACCAGACCTTCATTTCACAGCTGAGGAAACTGAGGCTTAGTTGAAAGTTCAGTGACATGCCTGAGTAGGTGGTGGAGCCTGGATTCACACACAGGTGGTCTGCCTCCACAGCTGAGTGAGCTGAACAACCATGCTGACCTGTGCACACACTATGGCTACTCTGTATACTGGCCACCCTCAGTATAATTAAATCCCAAGGGAAGCGGGTATAATTTCCATTTTTAGGAATCTGAGCTCCTTCTGGACTGGGTGTGTACTTACTAGTGGGAGTACACACTAAGTCTACCATCTAGAGACTTAGTGTAGAACATATCAACAAACCGAAGATTGTTTGGAAAAAGGAGAAAAAAAAAGAAGGCATGTTCTGAATATCTAAACAACTAAGAATTATGTCATCAGTTCATCAATGTAAACAATTCTACCTCTTCAGATGACTACGTGCTTTCAATTAGAAAGGCATAAACAATGTAAGAGGAATCTGGAGGACTGATATCATGCAAGTGACAGAAAACAGGTTGAAGGAATCATGACTAAGCCTGAGAAACATGCTGAAGGGAAGTACTGAAGTCTATTTGAGAAGTGGAATTATAACATGATTAACTGTCCTATATTCCTAGAAAATTCACATGCAGACTTCACTTGCCTTGCTTGGGGTTTGAATAAGATAGAGGTAAGGCCTTTGTGAACATCTTGAGATGTAGAAATGAGTGTCTAAGTTCCTATGAGGGACTAGGAGACATCCCAGACATCCAAATGTAGAAAACGCCTTGTAGCTCTCAGAGATGAACTTGGGGTCCTCTGGCTCCAAAGCACCTGACTGACCTGCTGTGCCCAGGGGTCCTAGAGAGCTCAGAAGATATAAACACACTGCTTGGACCCCTTTCCCACCAGATGCTAAGTTCTCAACATGACCCCCAGATCCTTTGGCCTCTGGAAGGAAAGCTGAAAGGCCCCTACTCACATTCTTAAGAAACTCCTCAGCCACAATGCGGGCACGGGCATTGACTGACAGCTTCATCTCACTGATCTCCTTGTCAATCTCCTCCATGAAGTGGATCACAAAGTCCACCAACTTGTGTTTGTACATCTGCTCTGTGTGGAAATTGGTGATCAGAAAGCTGATATCATATCCCTAGGGAAGAAGACAGTAGGGAGGAGGAAGAGAAGGAACAGGAGAGAATTAGCACCCCAGAGGAACTAAGCCGGTCACGTCCTCCACTCATCCACATGGTTCCCACTGGCTGTGATCTTCTCCCAAGCTACACACCCTTCCAGTCAGCAGCCCAGCTGCTCTGGGGGAGGGTGTCTAGGTTGGATCCAAGCAACTGAACCCAGTTGAGAATTCTGTGTGTATCAGACATCTCTGGAAGACTATCTGTGGCACAAAGAACTCTGCATTGAGAATGAGTCAAGGGACTTGAAGTCTTGTTACAGAAGAATCTAATCAAACAACAGGGAACATTTCGTTCAGAGAAGAGATGATGTGGAAGATGGGTGGGATTAAGGTCTTTTTCTGCTGGAGGGCTGTGGGAGGAAGAGCAATTTTATTTATTCCAGGTGGCCCCAGAGGTTAGATCTAGGACCAGGAGAGAAAATTTGGCTCAGGATGAGGAAGAACTTGGCCAACACGCCTGACGTGTCTGATGATGGCACATGCTGCTGTGTGGTAGTTGCTCAGTCACTGGGGATATTTTAAGTTGACCTGGCAAGGAGTCTGTGGAGAAGATTCAAGTAAAAATTCAGGCAACAACTGACCCAGTGTTAACTGTGGCTTTAAAAGACTGATTTGGTGGGCCGGGCGCGGTGGTTTATGCCTGTAATCCCAGCACTTTGGGAGGC